TAGTCGGCTCTCAAGGACAAGGGTGGGTTGAAGTAACTGTAGCTGGAAACTATGTTGATTCTCAAAGTAAAGATACAATAATGGAGTATACTCCATCCTTTATATTTGAAAACAAAACAATAATATCGTCATCTAAAATTCAATAATGAAACAATGTAAAGCACACGTCTCCCTGAAATTCTGCAACCCAAATGATTGAATTTCTGAATGTGTAGTTCCCGCACAAATGTGGAAGCTGAGAACACAAACTAATACTACAATTTTGAAATACACGGTGAAATGCAATGTAAACTTACCGCATATACGTTAAGGATGCAAGCACAGACGAGTATAACCACTTTGAAATACATTGTGAATAGTGTTCAGATAGCAGACCTCCTATAATGAATAAGAAATGTGTTAGGGATTTTTATACACGTCATTTCTGAAACATTAAACGATAGTAATAGTATTTCTAATTTAGAAAGTTCCGTAAACCGGGAACCTTAGGAAATTAAACGCAATTGAAAATGGCATAATGGGTACAGTATACTAGAATTGTGATTGATGACACACTTGTTGAGTTTTAAAGACATATTCTCAATAAAGTATCGACATTCCGAAGTGAACAAATTGTGCCCCCAAGTTAAATATGAACTTGTATGATACTCAATCTCGCAAAACAAAATAAGCCAAATCCTTTAATTTTCCTTTCACTGACAAGCCTGAAATTAGTGATTATATTCTAATGATACACCCCGATAAACGCGAGATTAAGAAACCTTCAAAATCCACTTCTTGTGCTTCTTTTTTGATCTGTGTCTCCATTTTTAAAATGAGATAATGATATACTATCTACGATAGTGTATGGCTAACATTGACTTTAGTTGTTTTACTATCATAAATTTTCCACAGTTTTAAAGAAATATCCTACACTGTCCTACATGTTTGTAAATTATCCACGTCATTGGCGTACATAAAATGAGTATGCATTACAATTATTAATAATTTTCACTACCAACTTCAATTCTCAACAAAATATCATTTTTTTGATACCTAATTAGGTAATATGATATTAGAAATGCTAATTTACACATTTAAATTTCAACAGTTTTCCCATTAAAGAGAGTTCCGTTAACCGGTTGTACGGAACCTTTGGAAATCATTAGACACATTCGAGGATTATATAACTATTAACAAGTGAGTGAAAATTAAAGGTTTAAAATTAAATACAATCATTATACCGAATAGAAGGGGCGAGATAATTACACATTTTAAGTTGATTGCTTATAATTACCTTTATAACTTGTTTTACTTTTTAAATTATTTCTATTTTTGCATTACTTGGCCCTAGTTATGTTCTATGTGTATACTTATAACCGTGAGATAATCATCGAACAACACGATTACATCTATCGGTCTGACCGTAGTTGCCGCATCGAGTATGTACCACAGGGGTCTGGCGATCTTAGTACGGTCAGTAAGATCTAGAAGAAAAAATAAAATAACTGTTTTCAGCTCAGTCAAATATTTTGAATTGACATATTGCTTAGAAATCATAAACTCCCCAAATGCTACTACTAGGATTTTTGCCGGGTTTGTGTACAGTAGAGATATCTAAATGGAGAAGACAAAACTCAATTTTGCGTCAAACACGTGAAAGCATATACAGCGGGAGTATCTTTTATTTGTAGATTTGTGTGATTAAACTATGAAATTATATATATACTGGGGTTACGGACTCTACTAGTTCTGATGAACTATATCTGTAATCCCCACCAAAAAAAAATAACAAGTTATCTAAGTAGAATTCGTTATTTATTTATTTATTTCACATTCATCTTAAACAAAAGCATTTCTAAGCACGATAGGATACACATATCCCGTGCAATACCGCTGTAATCTGTAGCGATGCGGCAGGACAGGTGTATAATGTGAGGTTATTACGAGAATACTTCAAAGTATGCACGAAGACAGTACAGCTGGAGTATCGACCGACCGTTAAACTCCGATGGCAGCCATGTTTGTTTGTATTATTAGAGGACGCGTAAGCGCGTAATCATTCCATAGTATGTATAATAATATGTTATATTAGTTTATCATATGAGCATAGTGTATAGCATTGACAGTTGTATCATTTAGTGTGAAACATTTCAAACATTTTGGCAATATACAGGATAAATATCAGTGGTCTCTGTTCACACGATTAGTAAAACCGAATGGCTGCGATATGAGTACTGTAAAACATATCTTTTTCGCGAATTTAGCGAGAGCACTGATTCGCTAATTCAAGATGTCGCTAATGACTTTATTATCAATTCAAAATGGCCGCCAAACAAAAAATTCAACAATACCAAGAGATTCGCTAAATCAACATTTCGCTATTATGTCATTTTACCACAATTCGCTAAAATTTCAGGGAGGATAATAACTATTCGTAGGATGCAATGACTACGTCATAATAATGACGACTGTCAGTTTATTGTAGAACAATGTCGCTAAGAATATCAACATTTCTGCCTATTTTGAAAAACATCGGCGACTACAAATGCGCTTTGGTGTCGCGCATATTTAGCATAAATTAGCATATGAAAGAATAAAAAAGCCATCTGTCGTATTTTCAAACTACACGGTCTGAAAGT